AATTTTTTAATACCGGTGTTTGTGATGTCAGTTTTTGCAGTCAGCGCAAAAATGAGTATGGTTTTTTAATAAGTCAAAGAGAGTTTTTGACCTAAAGACGTCAACAATGATGAGGATGGTTACGTCAGGATTGACATCGACTTTGGTCATTTCTTTGGCCACATTCTTTACTTCTTGCAGCAAGGGAGATGGCATGGAGCCAGCATCTATCTGCATTGTAGAAACCTAAATCCTCCATTAATTTTTAACAAGCCACGCTAGTTTAGGGGTCGCATTTGTCTCCTCTGTTCTATCCTTTATTCCCTTTTACCATGTATACCGGTTAGATAAAGCTTTCCTTGTTGACAGTATTATAATCGGGTACACTAACCATGGTTACGCATGTTAAAAGCACGTATACTCCTTCGAACAAACTAAAATACATCTAAAATAATATCTACCGAGAAGGAGGTTGGGTAGAACCAAGCAGACCGATCGCGCCACCTGGAGTACACCGCAAGTCCCTTCATCCACGGTGTGTGATGTGTTCCGAGCAATGTAGGCCTACTCACCGCAAACTGCCTCGTTCGTAATACGCTATTCATGCTAAACTAATTATCCTCTCTCACGATAGGGTGCGTACGCACAAAGGTTTACCAACTGTCTAGTAAGAAGATAAAGTGTATGTAGTAATGGAGGAACGAAGACCACCATCTGTGTCATAAGTATAGACCAGCCACAAGGAGGGCACCCGAAATGGTGTTCAACAAGACGAAGGGTGATGAGTACATCCATATTTGTAGGCACCTCTTAGGTGAAAATCTCTTAAGAAGTCCAAATCTTGTAACGGAACAGCCATCATCGATTGTCAATGGCAACGAAATGTGTTCTAAAGGTGTGTTCTCCCGATCTCTGCTCCCTGTACATACTGTCACTATCTCTTTAGTCTACTCGTTCCGAGAGATTGAAGTCCAAGGAGGAGGCGAAAGACTCCGAACCTTTCACACTGGCGGCTGTCTCACCTATATAGACACAAACCAGAAAAAGTAAGTTGCCTTATTTCGTCATATGGTCATCTGAAACCGACTTATATCAAAAAGTAGCGAAGCTATAAAAACTAAACAAAAGAACTATTCGTGCTCTTGTTGTGAATACCTGAGACATTTTGGCTGCATGAGTTTATCCCAGAGCAGTCTAGGGGTAAATATTGGCCAGCACCCAGCGTGTGACAATTTTGAAATCACAGATGTTTGTCGTTCCTCATATAAGATTTCGTCTCTCGCGCCTTTCTGCCTCTTGTCTTTGCGTTTATCAAAATTTCTACGTTTGCTGGGAATGTAAGGCATCCGAAAGGACGTTTTCTTTCAAATTCTGAAAAAATTTTTATAACACTGATTTTTAGACATTCTGAGAAGTTACTGCTTCAAATACAAAGCACTTACTCTGCAATCCTTCTATCTCTCTATATCAGTCTGCTAAAGCAGTAAGGTTGCAATGCCTCAGGTAAAAATAAATACCGTATCTGGGCTGTTATTGTCAGTTAATAAAAACTGACTGCTTCATCACTTTTTTTCTACAGCAGCATGCTGGGGTGCCTGCACCTCATAGAATACGTTCATGCTGGACTTTTCAAGATTGCAAATAACGACTAATCCCCAAACTTTCGAAGAGTCGAGTTGACGCTCTCTCACTTTTCGACTGGTTCTCCATGTCTAACAGACGTAAATACTAGTTCTGTGATACATATTTAAAGGCCCAAAATGGATCTTCTTAAAATCTGTGTGTGTGGCAGGTGATCAGTTTAACTTAGGCTATAATGAATGCAAAGTATTGTGGGAATTTACAAAAGTAGTTTCAACATTGCAGCAGTCTGATAAATAACTACAGGCATAAAGAAGCACCCATTATATCAGAGACTTTTCAACCCACTGCTAAATACTTTGGACAAGGGCCTGTAAATTATGTCTATATGTATTCCCATCCTGGCTGTCTTCTCAGTTGCCAATAACACCTTTTGTGTCAAGGTGTCATCATCAATTGGGATTATTTTTCCGCTCACAAAAAATATTGCTACCCACTTGTTAAATTACCATCAAATGTATTTTGAAAAGTGGATAATGGCCTTCACCAATTTTATAATCATCGCACGTCATCTTTTTCCGGATATAAAATATACAATATAATTCAACCGTATAAGTCTGTCAGCACGGCAATAAGTTCAGACGACTTCTCGGCTACTTATTTCGTTCAATGGGTTCACTTATTATATTGTGCGGAGTATAATATTTACACTCAGCTCTGGCCCATGTACATGTATATAAGACTTTGAAAAGTTTTGGATGATATGCAAAAAACAGTCACCTTAATATTATGAAATTGTTAATGTAGCGATATAGTAGAGTCTTAATATGTACTGCCATATACCGATCCCTATGTTCATTTGAAGTATATGAAAAGGATGTCCATTCAGACAAACCTAGCGCTTATGGGCTATGAAATCAAAATCTCACTCGGGTCATTTTTGATTTATTTGGGATCAAATGACCTTCCTTAAGCTGTTTTTTAGAAGAATTTGCACTTTTACATCCTCGTTCTTAAGAAGTCCCCTTAATACGTGCACACGACCATACGGTATAAGTTTACCTTGAGTTGCCCTTAAGCCATATAATCAGACAACATTATATAAGTTGAAAGTTGATATCCTTAAGTCGATACTGGTAGTGCGTAGTTGCGTAAATGTACCTCTGGACAGACTGAAATCGCCACAAGTGGAAGCAGCATTAAGCAAATTGTCCTTGGGTAGCTTTCGTACCATTTGAGTAGGCCTGTTATTAAGTTAGGCACAAACTACTTACTTTGACATTGGACATATCTTAATACATATAAGTAGTCCTCTGATTACATAATTAGGCCTTCAGATTGACTGAATTCCTCATGCTGTGGTTACTGCGAAACACCAGTAGTCAAGTGGAAACGTTCAAGTGAAAGGTGTGACAGTGGTCTTTTAAGATATTCTCTATGTTTAAGCGGATAGTTGGGCAAGAAAAGACATTTTTTGCTTCCGGACTAACGAGTCACAAGCTACATCTAATTGAAAAAGTGGCTGATGTCTACAACAAAAGATTCTTTACTTAATCTGTACAATATGCAATATATTTTCCTTTGATGTTTGCGAAGGCTTATTATCGAAAATTATCACTCAAATGGGTCCATTAAATGCATTTTTCCATTGTGATTTAAAGGCAAGCCAGACGAAACGACCTCACGTCAAACAAGCACAAATAAATCGTCTTTTAACAGACGACGACTGCACCGCCAGCCTGCCTTGGCCAATTACAGAAAATTGTAAATTGCGAGCATTCAGGTAAGACCCGTAAACTTTTCAAAATGGAATCCGTACTTTGGAGATTTATGGATCTCCTACCTAAGGAAAGTCAACTTCAAACAAGGTGACTTGGGTTCACGAGGCAAAGGTCTACCCTGTAGCACCATAGATCCCTTAGAAAATCGCCCTATCAAGTGGTATTAACTACAGGCTATATGCAAAATGCCTCAGCTCTATTTAAGACTAGTAGTCTCTATTTTTTCCACTTAAGTAGCACAAGCATCTGGGTGCGTATATTACCAGTGGCTTGGACATTGGACGCCGCAATTATTAATCAATTCCCTGTCAATCGGTTTTGGTAAAATAAGGAAACATACCAACAGCATGGCGGAGGCAAATGGTAACCTTATTTAAAACACCAAATCTAAGGCTTTGGAGGGTTGACAGGTAAAAGAAGTATCAGTTGATCGTGGAACTAAAAGTGTACTAGCTAAAGGGAAAAGTCCATAAAATTTACCTCACAGGTAGTAGGGACTATTAACAAAGTGGTTACACTGGAAATTAGTGCCAGCACGTGCTGTGGTTGATCCCTCAATCATATGCAGTCAACTTCACTTTTTAATCTTGAGTTTACTCTGAATTAACTTGACTAAACTGAGAGGGTAATACACATTCCAAAGATAATCGCCTAGTCACAACTCCCTTATGATGCGGAGCTCCTCTTGTGGACTGGAGGTTGGATGCAGCGCGAATGCGCAACATACCTGTACCAGCGCAAATTCGGTACAGAGAAAACGTGTGCGGGTGTGGATACTGACAGATATTCCCTATGGCATGAACTTGTACTCTTCTTTCATAAGTCGGCATTGATGGGAAGCCATTGTACAAAGACCGCGTCATCGGCAGAAATTGACCCCAATATGTGGGAGAGGGACTCAGTAACGGAAACTTGTAAGGTGCGTCTAGACAAGCTGGAACCGCATATTTTAATAATTCACGCACAAGTAATGTTAGGTGGCTGAAGGTCTCTCGCTGGAAGAGGGTTAGGATATTTGCAAGACTCTTGGTCAGACGGCTAGGTTGACATTGTCGATGTTTAAGCCCATGCCCTAATTTCATTGATAATAATGCCGCCGATGTGGCTAAGGCAAAGATATTAGAGTAATTGCTTGTGATAATAATGCAAGATAAATGGCTATATACTGAAGAACAAATTTTAAACCGACTGTCCCTTGATATATTTTTGCTTCTAACAAAACAATGACCAGTGTCTTTAGCTTACTGATTTATCGAAAGCTGAGCCGGTAATGTTGAATCAGTGCAGTCTAGAAGGAGGCGTGGTTCTCGGTTAGTCGAGTGAATGAATGGCATAAATAATTGAGGATAGCAAAGCGATGCACTTGACTTCTAACGCCTTGCGGAAGGGACGGAGCCATTG